CACCTTGTGTCATCACCCCTCGTGAGCCCCGGATTTGCCTTATAGTGGAGGGCCGGGAGATAAAATTTCTCCTGAACACTAGAGCAACCTTTTCCATACTTCTCTCTAACCCTGGTCTTTTATCCCCCAAATCTGTAACTATATAGGGGGTGTCTGGAAAGCTGATTACCAATTTTTTCTCTCAGCCTTTGAGCTACAATTGGGATGACTGTTCTCTTCAGGCTTTCCTAATCATGCCTGAAAGTCCTGCTCCCCTTTGGGGGAGGAACATACTAAATAAAACAGGAATAACCATTTATGTCCGTTGATTCCCCCAAGTACCTTTTCACATTCAACACTAAAGGAGCTTTTCTGTCCTAGGAATCTAGTCATGATCAAAAGTCTTCCTTCCCTAACCCCAACTTGGGAAGGTCCCTTTTATGTTTTCTTGTCTTATTCTACAGCTGTTAAAGTTATGGGTGTGAATTCCTGAATACATCACTCACATGTAAAAGCCTGAAACCCTCCACTTTCTACAGACAAAGACTCTGAAGAAAGCCAACCACAGCCCACCTACTCGTGTGAGCCTAAGGAGAGTTTGAAGTCATTATTTAGAAAACATTAGCATCACTAAAGTAATTCCTCCAACCTAACACGATCCTACCTTGGCCTTTTACTAATTATACGAATCAAATATACATTTTGCAGAAATTTCAAACCAGGCCACCCACAATAAGGATGGTTCCAGTCTAACACCTGATTCTACCACAGATCCCTGTATCACTCTTCCCTCCGGAGAAACCCTAACTGCCCCTTCTATCATCGCCCGATTCAGAAGGAAGCAGTTAGATCGAGTTGTCGCCCTTTGCCCTAACAGCAGTTAGAGTTTCTACTCGGAGAGGGAGGAATGATGCTGGACAAAGTGGCGCCCCAGCCAGCTCAGCTAAGTGGGGCTGGGGGACCTGCCGCCTCCGTCTTGGTGGCAGCAGCCGGCAGAGGAACCAGCAGGCTGGAGCAAGCGGAGGGAGCTTTCATCTCCCATCACAGGCTCCTGTAGCAAAAAAGATCAGACCGAGCAGGGGAAAACACTGGTGATTCCTCCAGTGCATCCCTAATTGGTCCATTTTCAATTCTGCTCCTGATTGGTCTAGTTTCAGGAGAAAAAGAGACCAATCAGCTCAGCTTTCAGCTCACTGGACAACTGCCCCTATATAAACCCCTGAGTATAGTGCCTAGAGGTAGATAGTTGCAGACCTTTGAGGCAGAGAGCAGAGCAGGAATAGCTGTAACACTTGGATCCTGTTCTGCAAGGAAGTTTGTGAAAGAGTTGTGACACTTATATAAAACCTATTTTATCCTGCTCTGCAAGGTTTCGCTCTTTGTAAGAACTGTAATACCTGTTAAACAAAACCTAACTTCTATCCTGTGGTCCATCTTCATTGAATCGTTGAAACCAAGAGCCTGGAAATCCAATATCTAAATCCAATATCACTTTGATGTCTATGATTACAAGAGGTACTCAACGTGAACTGTGTTCATCTTTTGTTACTAGTACATGTTGAGTATTATTTTAATAGTCTTCTTTCTTAAAATGTGCATACATATTTTTTGCATTCTCTACATATGGCACTGGATATCGAGGCCATCCTCAAGAATAGTACTAAATAGATAACCCCTGGCCTCAAGGAGCTCACATTATGAGTGGGCAAACAGGATACATGAAACACTTATGTGACGATATAAAGCCATAGGAGACTAAATGCCGAAAAGTGTGGTATAAATGGTTAACACTCAAAGAGCTCAAGGCAGGCTGTGCAGAGGCCAGGCTGGGGTGACCCTACACCTTAGGGCAAGTGGGATCCTCACTAGTGGAAAGAGGTTTCCGATGTCCTAGTCACAGAGCAAATAGTTCCTGAGCACCTTCCATATGACAGCTGCTGTTCTAAGCCCAGGAGAAAAGACAGTGAATGAGATGAAAAAAGCCCCTGCACCCAGGGAGCGTAAAGGGTGCTGCAGAGGAAAGCCAAGTTCAAAGGGAGCAAGGGTATGTCTTCCAATCACAGGACACATAACATCACTTAAATGACTTATGCTCGGGAAATAATGCTGTTATTATAGTCACTATGACTTTACAATAGTGACAAACACACAGAAATGGCCGTTGTGGAAAGTCAATCATTTTCACATACTGAAATGGGCTGTTTTCTGAGTCAGTTCCATTGTTTATAAAGGGATCTTCTCCATACTTTCTTGATACAAATAACATAAGAGATTCATAAACATACACAGTCAACTAAACTGTGCCCAAAGAAAAGCCTAGACAAGCTTCAACCTCTTTCCCACCCCACCCCGCTTCATCTACCAGCAACTGTCCACAAACAGCAGAGCTGAGAAAGTGCTGAAGGTGTGTGTGGAGGCAGGAATCAGGTAGTCACTACCAGACACAGTTGTATTAACTCCAAGAGAAAATGTAAGCGCATCTTTTTCCTCTAAGATCCTTCTACTGAGCACAACTCTCCACTCATGCCCTCCCCCCAGAATGCTTTTAGGTAAAGACACCCTCTTGTAAATACCAACTGGCAGGGCATTCTCAACCTTCTTCTCTTCCCAAAGATGGACCCCTAGAATCTTCTGGTTAAGTTCCCATAAGCTTTAACCGCAAAGACACACCTCCAAGCACTTTTCCTCATCTCTCCGGTCCTTTCAACTACTTCTCAAGATGTAAACTGTGAGACCCCACCCTCATCTCAAGTCAATATTAATTCCAACTGTTATCCTTACATAAATGACAATGTGTAAACTGTACCTTTGGAAACAGCCAAAATAAACTTATTAAGCCAGCCAAATCTACGTAATTAAATCCAAACAAAAACTGAAATTTCTTAATTCTGAGTACTTAACTCAGCAGTAACCATATGTTGAAGATATTTAAAGACAAATTAAAGAATTCGGGACACAAATCTTTCACAACTACCTACAGTGTAAATAGTGTTAACATCCTTAACATTCACATGCTTTGTGAAATGTGCTGATTCTTTAATAAAGTAACAGTCAGCCCACTGTTTTTATTTCCTTGGTTTAGTACTGGAAATTGAGTCTTGTTTCATTATGTCATTTGTGTACCCTTAGTTAGGAATGTAACTTAGAAATTAAACAGGAAAAGGGGTCCTTAAGACTGGGCTATTCGAGCTTTCCCAATATTCTCACAGTGTGTTCATTAGGTGAAATGTTATGTAACCTGAAACTTGGATAAATAAGAGATGCAGAACTTTGGAAACTATTCAAAAGCTACCCCAATAAAGAGACTAATTGCAGTTCTATGCATTTCTAAAGCCATCTTCTGGCTTGAAAAACATCAGTTTACTCTATGGGTCACTTTGTATCACCAACACCCTTATGTTACAAAAGGGGAAACAAGTACTGAACGTACACGTTCCACAGAGGACACATTCAAATCAAACTCAGCACTCAAACGTTTCTGAACAACCTATGCTTGTGCAAAAAGGTGTCGCTGAAGAGTTAAGAGAGACACGTCGAGGGGAAGCATGTAGATCCTTCCGCAGACGCCTGGCCACCAACCAGTCATTACTCGACATTGCCTATTCCTGTCCTTAATTTTCCAACTTTAGGCAAACCAGATGGTTAAAAAATTATATATATGACTATGTGCATGTAATATACATAAACAAATACATATTAGTTTACTATACTAAAAATAAAGCTGGCATTAATTTTGTAAGTAATGGTCTTAACCTAGGCAAAGGTTTAAGTTTGTGACAGATGACCCACAAAGGATGGAAAACTTAAGGAGTAAAGTGTTAAATGTTAGTTTATCTCTGTTTATCAATTAAGAATATAACCTCTCGTGGTATGGGATGAATTACAATTAGCAGTCAGCTGATCCTAGAGAACTTGCTCCAAACCAACAGTTAGACCTCACACCCCTCGGCAAGCGGCCATTTATTTGCAAAGCTGCTCCAACCACGGACCTAGGATCACTCCAATACCGATGCTGAAATCCTACATGAATTCATTTCCCGGTCTCAAGCTGGAAAACACTTCTTTCAAGTCACTACACACACAAAAATACCCTGTAAAGCTACAGCATCCCGGCCACATGCAGTCTTTAAAATACTACAGTCCCCGCCACGCGTCGTTTATTATGACAGGGAAGGTGCACAGGCGGGCTGCAGAGCGCGCGCTTTCAAGTACACGCAGAGCTCAGGGAGCCGCGGGTCCGCCACGACCAAAGACCCATGGGGACCGCCGGCTTC